AAATGCTTTTATCCTTTTTTTTTTTTTCAGAATACAAAACAAGACCCGTCTCACTGTGGGACACAATTTTTTATTAATTTTAAAACCACACCCCAGCTGTTGTTGGGGGAGCTCTAATCTAGCTCCTACGGATTGGACGGGGTTTCTGGGTCTTGTGCCCGGGTGATTCTCATCCATATGGTGGCACTTTAGGTCACTGGGTGTTGGTTGCTCGTTGTATGGTCCTGGTGGAGTTGATGACACACACACACACAGAACATGACGCAACTGGTTAAACCACTTAGACACAAAAACCAATCAATAAAGAAAACAACATAAAAAATATTTTAAAAATCGTTAAAATCAGAAATAACAATATTACATCAAATAGCAAGTAATCACAATTTACATAGCAATTGTCTTGTAGTAATAATGATTTTCAAATAAGCTATATCCGGTTCAACCCTCAGGGTTGCACATGGGATATTTTCTCCTTCTTCTTATTGTTTCCCGATATAAAATTTTAGTTCTTTGTCTCCCTCTGGATGTTGGTCTTGCTCCAGAACTTGAGTTTTACATGTATATCCACCTTACATATCTGGCCTAATTGTACACAGACTGTTGATTTCTTGCCTCTCAGGCGGTTGGATCCGACTGGCTTATTTGCCTGCAGACTGTTAGTTGCTCGTCTCTCAAGTAGATTCATTCTGACTTCGCAGAAAACACCTCTAATTAGTAACCTTGTATAACACGCACATCCATTGTCATTACCAAAAAATCAGAACACTCATCAAGGGAAAATACAAGGAATTGTGGAGAGAACAAACTAACAGTAAACATCCACAAGACCTTATTAGCAAACTCAGCAGAAAGCAACATACAACAAATTGTCCATCTACGAACAGGACACTGCAGGCTCAACTACCACATGCATAAAATAAAGATTGTACAGTTCCCACAGTGTGCCTGCAAAACAGGATCACAAACATCTCAGCACATTATGCAGACCTGCCCACTCTACTACCTACAACTTTGAAAAGACACCTGGCCTCAAGAGCAAAGTGTGCAGAGCAAACTATGGGGAAACCATAAAGGACCTGCTTCTAATATGCGAGTTCATACAGGCAACCCACCTGATGGTCTGATCTGAGCATACAAAACCAAACACAAAGAAGAAGAATTAGAAGTCACCTTGTATGAAATGCTTGTTTGGGGGAGAGGGGGGAGCAATAGTTCTATTCATTTTCCCCCTGTAAGGAGCCCCCAAATACACACAGGGAACAAATGGAATGTATAGTATCCACTTTAACAGACAGAGAGTCAGACTATTTGGCCTTTTAAAAAAAACATGCACACACATCCACATGCCTACACCTAAGTACATTCATATGTAAATATATTTGCTCATGCGTAGACCTCATTTTCCCCAAGACAACAGGAATGTATAACTGGCACATGCACACAAAATGCTCACAATTTCATATACACTTACATTTAGAATAGCACTTTTGTGGTATGTGAATATAAATAAATGTCTACTACAGTGAATTATTGCCCTCTACAAAGTTATAAAACAATTGGGATTCTTCCACGATATTTCACCTTTGTTTACCTTTTTTTTCTTCCTCACTTCTCTACTTTTAATAAACATTTTTCAACAGATCAATTCAATGCTTAGATATTTTTTAACTCCAGACTTCAAGAGGGGAGAAGAAAGATATTTTGGCTGAGCACTAGAATCAACATTTAGAAGATAGAGAAGATGGAGCGCTATACTGGGCACATCCTAAGAAGAAACCAGCAGAGAATCACCAAACAGGCACTAAAATGGGAAACACTAAAATTAAAAATAAAGGGATTAAGGAGACAAGGACACTTAAAAGAAACCCTAATATGAAAGATGGTAAGAGAGGCCAAAGGTGGTGGACTCGATTACATTCTTGATGTTGAACTGATTGCACAGGGTATAACGGAATGGAGGAATAGATTGTGAGCCTGATGTGATATATAATGACACACAGGACATCACTTAAAAACACACACTCTCTCTCTCTCTCTCTCTCTCTCTCTCTCTCTCTCTCTCTCTCTCTCTCTCTCTCTCTCACGTGTGTGCACATGTACGTGTGCACACACACACACACACACACATATACACATCACACAAACAGACACAATGCAGCATATTTTAATAGTAATATGCCAATATTTTTTCATTCAAGATTTTCATCCTATTCTTTTATGTTTATCAAGATTCATCTGTTTCTTAAACTTTCCTCTTTAATGTTTTACAATATTCTTAACCTGCTGCATGGTACCTGGAACGTGGATAACTATAATAAATTACAAAATAGAAAAAAAATAAAAACCACAAACAAGTGATTATAGAGCGTACAATGTTGTCTTCACAGTAGATGGCATACTTAATATTGTGAATATCATCAGCAACATTTAAATAGTATACCAACTTAGTTTCACTTACAATAATTAGTGCACAAAAGAACCTATTAAATGCCTAATGTTCAACATGGTGATGTAGATAATAATAGAAATTTGAATCTGTCTGATTTGAAATATGACAGATAAATTATCTCAAAACTAGATGTTATTTATGATAAAAGTAGAACCATTAATGAATAATAATGATACACAGAAATTTTAAAAATCTGAGACACAAAAAAGGTAGAGGGGAGAGAGGGTGTGAGAGAGAGAGAGAGAGAGAGAGAGAGAGAGAGAGAGAGAGAGAGAGAGAGAGAGAGAGAGAGAGAGAGAACGATAAAGTGAGAAAACTTCACACGAAACATGTTTACAAAACTTAAGACATTTACTAGTCATTTGTGTGTGCGTGTTTGTGTGTGTGTAGGAGGGTGTGCATGTATGTGTGTGTGTGTGTTGGAAAGGGGGGGGGGGTCAACTTCATTGCACTAGGTTTCAGAAGGAGAACTCTGAAACATATGCCCCATGGAAATGATACAGGACAAAGACCAAGATGGTACAGAAACATTACAGGACAAAGACCAAGATGGTACAGAAACAGTACAGGACAAAGACCAAGATGGTACAGAAACAGTACAGGACAAATACCAAGATGGTACAGGTACAAAGACCAAGATGGTACAGAAACAGTACAGGACAAATACCAAGATGGTACAGGTACAAACCACCAGAAGACAGTACAGGGACAAACAAAGATGGGTACAAAAAACAGTACAAACACCAAGATGGTACAGACAAAAGACCAAGATGGTACAGAAACAGTACAGGACAAAGACACCAAGATGGTACAGAAACAGTACAGGACAAACACCAAGATGGTACAGAAACAGTACAGGACAAACACCAAGATGGTACAGAAACAGTACAGGACAAACACCAAGATGGTACAGAAATGGTGTAGTGAGCCTAAGCTGGGAGACACATCTCTGCACAAACTGAGACATTACAGTTCTTTTAAAGCCCTGGTTCTCAACCTTTCTAATGCTGCGACCCTTTAATGCAGATCTTCATGTTGTAGCAACCCCTACCAATACTATTATTACTGTTTCTACTTCATAACATCAGTGAATATGTGTTTCCCGATGGTCTTTGGCGACCCCTTTGAAAGGGTTGTTTAACCAAAAAAAGGTCGCAACCCGCTGTTTTGAGGTCTATGTCATCATTAGGTGCCATGAGAATGAGAATAGTCGTGTTTCACCATCTCTAAGGATCACAGTTTTGGGCAGCATTCAAGTCTAGATAAACTGAATATAATTGCATTGGAGCTGAGAGTAAAACTTCACAGTCTTCCATAGGATTCACAACTGGACAGCTAATTAATACTCAGAATGGAAGTCTGAGCAGCATAATAATGATTTCTGATTTGTGAGAAACAAAAAATTAAATAAAGATATTGTCAATAACCCAACTTTCATTTTTTTAACTCCAAATTTTGCCCAGGCAGCGCCGTTAAGTTACTCTTTTTGATTTCCAACTGCCAAGGGATTTTTTCACGTGCGCAACAATACACACAGGCATCTGATCTCACTACCTAGAGGCCAGGGGGAATTACTAGAAGTCCAAGTCCACGTGAAAAAATCCCAGCCCTTACCGGGGATTGAACCCGGAACCTCTAGCACTCGAGGTAGACACCATGCCTCAAGACCACTTAGCCCCCCCCCCCCCCTCCCTTCAAGTCTTGAAGTTAAAGTTGGAACAAATGGATAAGATAAATGAAACAAACAATTTAAAAACACGGACAATCCTAGAATACACTAAAGAATGGAAGAGGTTTAAGAAAAGCATGAAATAAACAGTATAAGTAATAATATACTTGATTTATATACTTTGTGAGATGATTTACCGACCAATAACTCAAGACAAAATATTAACTATCAGGCCTCGAGACCATGCAGCCCCCTAAAGTTTTGAAGTTAAAATTGGGGGTTCTCCTTAAAACTACGGCCACTTATTATGGAGTACGCCGGAGTTCAGTCCCCTGGCTGCATTGCAATTATGGATTGGACAAGAGGGAACGACACAAATGACATAATTACTGTGTGTTTGCGATAGATGCACTGCTGTCATAATAGGATTACAAATATTAAATATCAGGTCTTGAGAAGACGCAGCTTCCTAAAGTTTTGAAGCTAAAGTCGGAACAAATGGATAAGATAAATGAAACAAGCAATTTTAAAACACAGCAATCCTAGAATACACTAAAGAATAGTATTGGTTTAAGAAAAGCATTAAATAAACATTAGAGGTAATAATATACTTGATTTATATACTTTGTGAGACAATTTACCTACCAATAACTCAAGAAAAAATATTAACTTTCAGCATATCCTATTCAGAACATAAACAAATAAATTTTTTTGCAATGCATTTTTTTTCCTACTACAGATTATAATTTAGTTTGCAGTTTCAAAAATGCTTCCACTGAATTTATACTTTATGTCAATTTTATATGCCACCTTCTGTGAAGCTAAAAACCAATGACTGATTGGGGTAATCTCTAACGGATGGGAAATGTGTAAGCAAATTACCGATCGCAACCAGTCAGTGCTATTTGTATATGCCTATGAAAGGAAACAATCACAGTCAAATGAACATCATTCATGTAACACAGACAAGTTTTGGGCATTTAAAAACTAAAAACATATTCACTGCAAAACATTTCTGTTTTACATCCAAGGCAACACCCTGGGACAACAATGAAACAAAATATCAAAATATCCCACAGACAACTAAAGCGGATGTTAGTAAATTTGTCCATGTTAATCTGATGAACAATGGAAACATGTTCAACTAAAAAATGTGTCCATGTTAATCTGATGAGCAATGGAAACATTTTCAACTAAAAAATTTGTTTCAATAAAATCTAAATATGTGTAAGAAAGTCACCATGGCGTAACGGTTAGAGGCTCGCATGCAGATCAGAAGGTCGCGGGTTTGCTCCCCTGCAGAGCCGGATTTTTTTTGTTTTTAAATGACCTTTACTTCAAGGTAAACCCAGCCATGAGTGGGTACCGGGTGCAGTCCTGGGAAGTAAAGGTGGCTGGCATGATGATGACCTTATCACCCATCTTGTGCCAAATGGTCCATAGAAATATAGGTCTAGCCCTATATGCCCTACATGCCTAAAGGCATTGAAAAGGGATCTTTACTGTACGTTTAATGGTGAATTGCAAAATTTAATAGGCTTTAAGCTTTGATTCAGTGACTTGTTTATGAGGGATATTTAACCTCTATCACTGTGCTGTTACTATGTACACCTTATAAGGGTATCATCATCATCAGGTGCCTTGCCAACTGGTGTGGGCGATCATGCCTCTCCGTAATCCATGATCTCTTGCAGCATGCATCAGTTTGTGTGCCGACACACCTCCATGCCATGCGACAAGACTGTCAAGCATCTTCTCTCGTTGTCTTCCTCTATCCCTCCTTCCACAGATCTTTCCAGTGGTCACAACATGTTCTATTTTCCCTCTTCTCATAACATGGCCAAAAAATGATGACTGTCTCCTTCTGATGTCTTTGATAAGTTGTCTTTGGGCTCCCACCTCTTTCAAAACCTCTTGGGTGCTCATTTTGGCTGTCCAAGGTATTCTAAGCATTCTTCTAAAAAACCACATCTCTGAGGCCTCAAGAAATTGTTTGGCCTGCCTACCAATTGTCCAGGATTCACAGCCATATGTTAAAACTGGGTGTGTGTAGCAAGCAAGAATTCTTTTTCTAACTCTCAATGACAAGGATATATTGCACAAGATGTTCTTCATTTTATAAAATGCAGTTTTTGCCTTTCCTATTCTGATTCTTATTACAGTTATGCATCTTCCATCTGATGTTATCCATGTGCCCAGATACTTAAATTTCTGTATTTGTCCTAAAATAACACCATTGACTTTTATTACACATTTAGGAATAATTCTTTTCTTTGATACCACCATTACTTCTGTCTTCACATTATTAAAACTGAGGCCCATTCTTCCACTTTCTAACACCACAATGTCTATCATTTCTTGTAGTCCTTTCTGACTAGTTGCTATCAAGACTGTGTCATTAGCATAACGTAAATTGTTTATATTGTGCCCGCCAACCACAATTCCAGGCATATCAATTAAAGATCTCATTACATATTCACTGTATAGTGTAAACAAATCAGGTGAAAGTACACATCCTTGTTGTATACCCTTCTTTATGCTTTGAAATGTACCTAAACAGTTGTTATAAAGGTATCATCATCATCATCATCATGTAGCAGGTCCTTTGCAGAACGTTGCTCTCATCACAGTCTGCCTGTAAGAAACTCGGTCTCTTGCCAGTTCTCCCGCCTCATGAACTTTCACACTCAAGGAGTTTCCATGATGAGTTTCTTGGGATAGTAATGTGGTAGTTTCCCGTTGCTTTCCACATCCACATGGCTTTAGACCATGTCCTCAGCCTTCAGCAACCTTTTCGATTGCTAGGGCAAGTGAGTGACCTGCTCTGTGATGCTCCTGCTAACAGCAGAGGGCACCCCAGAGGTATCCACTTATCTTTATACTTATAAAGGTATATCACTTGAAATTCCAGTCTTTGGGGAGAAAAATGGAACAAACAATCAAATTGGGGAGGCTCTATCTTGTGGTGAAGGTCTAAATATGCTCGTTAACTCAAATATAAATATGACAAAATGGTTCATTTACTTTAATCCTTATGGGACAAAGAATGGATACTATCCAGACTGTGTTATTCTGTTACAGACATGAAGATGGTCCCCAGTGGCTGGTTGCAGTAATAGCAGTCTAAAATCTGCATAAAAGTTCTGTATGGTGTTAAGGAGAATTCAATCTGACTATCCAAGAGAGAGGCAGAAACTGGATCGTGAAGCCATTGGCTGTGTAAATTACAGCAGGTCTTTAATAGGCTATAGACTGTGTAGGGTATTTAGGGCATGTCAGGCTGTCTAATCCAAGAGAAAGGAAAAAACTGGATCCCAAACCTATGGATTTTTGCCTAATGACAGTCTAAAATTCAGATTGAGTGTACCAGTTACCTACAATTTATCCAAAAGGGAGAAACAGAACCTGAAACAGAACATGCACCCCCTGGGGAACTGCCTCAATGCTAGTACCTTATGTTGCATCTGTTTCTGTTTTATGTGTAAATTAATTTTTTTTCTCTTTTTTTTTTCATTTACAATTTATAGGCCCAAAAAATGTATGTATTTACAATGCAGCATAATGCAAAAGGTTGTTTCTTGTCCATGCAAATTAGAACTGATTATTCTTGGTTCAATTTTATATGGATAATGAAAGAGAAGACACATGATAACTATTTCCTAATTTTAAAACATTTTTTGTTAAAGATAAGAATATATTCCTTATTCATGCATGCAGAGAAATTTCAGTATAGACATACATAATGCTACTGATAGTGGTAGAAAACATACAATATCAGAAGACGTCATTTAGAAGCTGACTCCCCAAATTACTATTTCATTATTATTATTATTATTATTTCTCCTTCTCCTCTTCCCTCTCCTCCTTTTTCTCGTTCTTCTCCTCCTCCTCCTTCTTTTTCATTTGTATATTTCCTTCATTGCATATTCATAATATGCATATTATTACATGAACGTAACATGCTTTATTGATACAATAATATACATATATATCGTGTGTGTGTTTTAATTCTGAAATTAATTTGCACAAGATTATCAATGAAAACAGTCATTAATGTTGTGCAAATAACCCAAGAAATAATTAGCTAGGTGGTCATATCAGCATAATGCAATTATGCAGGCAAGATTCGAACAAGCAATGTCCCTGACTATGGCAAAGGAAATAGAAAAACTGTTATAGATGGACAGAAGCAATAATGTATTATGCTAGTTGTTAAATATGATGTAATAAATTATAAAAATGTCTGACATAATTGATTTATGGTCACAATAACAACCAGCAAGGGTTTTTTGCAATTAATATTCTTTAGCTCCCTCATTAACTTAACTTTATCTGACAAACTAAATCTTGGTCATGTCCTCTTATCTAAACTTTCTACCTGATTTGAATGGAGTATTCCATATTGCCAGTTTGCACACGACACTTTTAAGTAAGCTGTTGCAGGTCCCTAACAGCTGTAATCTATTTTCCTTGTATTAACTCCTGTATTTCATAATTAATTGTGAACAGGTATATAATTATTCTTTAAGCTTCCAAATTAGGTACGTGAAATGTACATTTCTAATGATATATCAAATTCAAAGCATCTATAAAGGGATTAAGTAGATTTGAGGATTATGAATTAGAGTGTGTCTAGAACTAGACTTAAAAAATCAGAGTCTTCAATTGCTTTGCTGTACATGTAGGACATGCTCAAAGTCTTTAAAAGATGTTTGTGCTGTAGCTAATAAATTTCATGACAGCTAAAGAATGTTGTAGATGATGTTAGAATGCATAGGCCAACACGCCAAATTTAGTTCTGTGTATGTACAGATAAATAATTAGAGGGCATTATTCCCACGCCTTCAGGCGTATTTGGCACATAGGGCTAGACCTTTATTTTATAGGTCAATCGGCACTTAGTGGGTGATGTGGTCAACATCACGCCGGCCACCTTTGCTTCCCAAAATTTTACCAGGTACCTATTTAGGTCTGAATTTACCTGGGAATCAAGGTCATTTTTAAAAAATAAGTCCAGTTTGGATCTGAAGCTTTGTGTGTGTGTGTGTGTGTGTGTGTGCGGGCGAGTGCACGTGTGTGTGTGTGTGCATGTGTGTGCGTGTATGCATGCATGTGTGTGTGTGTGTGTGTGTGCGTGTATGCATGCATGTGTGTGTGTGTAATAAAAAAATGCATATTATTTTTGTATATGTGGGGGAAACAACATAAGTAAAAGTGTGATACTGACTGTGACTAATTTGCTCTGTTCCCAGAAATGAATTTATTTAATGTTTGCAAGTTACATATTTTTACAATTATCAAGTCTGTACTGGTGTTAAATAAATATAACAGATTGATCTTGTTGAGTCTTGTTAAGGTGAGACTAAAGAACCGAGAGAAAACATTGCTGCCAAGTTAATTGTATTACTAAACAGATTGTATCAATAAGAGACAAGCATTAGTTTGGGAGATTAACACTTATTTACCTTTGGTGATTGTATTGGAAACCTCATTACTGGGAAACCAATAAATACAAAAGATTACACTATTAAAGTACTTTCACACTGAAAAAGAACCAGCTACACAACTGGTTCTATGCTGTCAAGGAGCCTAAAGAGAAGCTGAGTGATATAACGCTTACCTCGTCTCTATCCCACGCCATCTGCAGGATGCCATCATTAATTAGCTTCTTCTTGATGTAGACGGCAGCTTGAATCATGCCCTGATGTGAACACATTACACACATTTAAGTAAAGTAAAGGACCCTTTTCCAGACCTTCAAGCAAATAGGCTAGACCTATATTTTATAGACCAGTCCGCACAAGACGGGTGATGTGGTCAGCATCACACCTGCCACATTTATTGCCCAGGACTGCACCCAGTACCCACTCAAGGCTGGGTCAACTTGGGAGTCAAGGTAATTTTTTTTTAAAAGAGTCTGGCTTCGCCAGGGAGCGAACCTACAACTTTCCAATCCGCAGGCAAGCATCTAGCTGTTCTGCCATGGCAACTCCCTTACACACATTATAGTTAAAGATAATTCAGGCACATGTAGATGTTTTATTTGTTACCACCTCTGGCATTCCTAAGAATACAGAATTCATGGGTAACCTTTTCTGGAAAGAATACACTTCAGAATGACCCAGCAGACAATTTCTTCTTCTTCCTCTTTGCATTCACTGGTTGTAAACTCTGGCAGAAAATCCTTGTTGTTCATCCACTTCTGAACTCTGTTTCTGTTTCAGGACTTGAGTGTTGTGTACACACTGATTTTACAGATCTGGCTTATTTCTGTGTAGACTGTTAGCTCCTTGCCTCTCAGGAAGATGCCCTCCAAACTTCAAAGGAAACACTTATCCTATCTATTTTAGCCAGGTCCCAGAATGGAACCTGTTTCTAAGATGACCATGGGGAGGTAAAAATAACATATTTGTTTTTTTAAATTAGAAAATGTAAAAGGCCCTTTCCCATGCCTTTAGGTGTATTGCGCATATAGGGCTGGACCTATACTTTCATAGACCAGTTGGCTCTTGGTGGGTGACGTGGTCAGCACCAGCCGATCCCCTTAACTCTTCAGGACTTGTACCTGGTACCCACTCAAGGCTGAGTAGACCTGTGAGCCAAGGTCCTGCTACACCATGGCGACTCCCAGAGGTACGGATAGGTCTAAAAAAATATGAGCCAATGTCCTGGTGCACCATGTGTGGTTCAGCACCTCTGTGTCACTTCTAGAGAATACATTAGAAAGCTTCCGTTACCACAACAGGCATCAGTCTTGTCAACAGCCACTTGTTTCTGCAGATAGGGCAACATACAGGGCAAACAAATGTGATCCCTGGTGTGGTAACAATAACTTTTAATGTTCTAGTGTGTTCTCCTATTTCTACATTTTTCTGCATCTCTGGGTATCATTGAACACATTACAGTTTGTTTACCTTACTAGCTCAGTGGCTGAACTTATCATGGATGCAGAGAGAGAAGTGGAAGAATGAGATCAACCTTTCTTCTTCCTCTTCTTCTTCTTTGCATACACCAGCAGTAGACCCCAGAACTTGGTTTTTGTGTGCCCAGCCATTTTACAGATCTGGCTTATTTTCATGCAGACTGTTTGTTCCTTGCTCTCAGGCTGATGCAAACCACTTTGAAGGAAGTTCACCCTTGAAAGGGCAGCCGACATGCTGTATTATGGCTTACAGCTAGGCTGTAATATTAGAACTTAAGCCCCACACATGTAATTTCAAAAAAGCCAAAATTAGTCAATTTTCACTACATGCTTGTTTTGAAAACAGAGGATGCATCCTTATTTTCTCCCAAAATGAGGTGAAGAACCAACAGTCTGCACACAAATAAGCCAGACCTGTAAAACGAATGTGTGTTGCAATACTCAGGTTCTGGAACAAGACCAAAGTTCAGAAGTGGATGATCAACCAGAACTTTCCATTAGGTTTTACAGCTGGAAAAAGCAAAGAAGAAGAAGACACTGGGAAAGTCATCAAACCAGAACTTTTGGCATGGTAAATAATGACTGATATGTTGTCATTCTGCTCAGTTTTATATGGTCCATGAGCATTCAACACACAATAAATAATTATGCAGTTATTAAAATATTTACCTTATGACCTTGCCAATCATCTCTGGGAGGATTTATTGGCAAATTTTCAGGTTCGGCTTTTAGGTCAGTTAGTACATCCTACAATCATAAAAGAGAAAACATTTTTAAAACAATTACATTTTGGCTAGTGTGTGAACTTTCTTAAATATTTTTAAATGTTTAAAAAATAAAATAAGTTTGTTGTATATTCGTTACAGGGCGTTGCAAAACCATCTCTAGCATTTTCTTGGCTATTGAAAATTTTCTAGGCAAATTTTACATTTAGTAAGTTGCTGATGAACGGACAGCTCTCGGCACCACTGTCGAAACAAACGTGGGACTGTCTGCTGTCAAATCGTCTGCACTCAGGATTAAACCCAGGACCCTGGAATTATGAAACATATTTACAACACCTAAGCCAATGATGCTGATTAAATAACGCAATAACTGGATAGTGGTATAGGTGTATCTCTCATTAAAGGATACAGCATGTCCTTGAAATTTCTGGACAAATGTCTTTATCAACAGTAAAAAAAAAAAGATGGCAATTCATTTGGCACATCATGAAGAGAAGTGGACAGAGAATCACTAAACAAGCAGTTCATCCATCCATTTATGAAAACAAAACCGAAAAAATTGACCAGGTTCAACCTTCTGCAAGCAGTTTCAGCTATAATTGTGATCTGGTTTCTTTGTGTCAAGTATGTTGGCTAAGAAGTGTTAATTGCACCAAAACAAGTGGCTTAGACCAGTACTCTTGTTCCTGGTGTCTTCACTAGTTTTTGGTCATGGTCTCTGGTCATGGTTTAAACACCGTAGACTGAGGATCACGCTACAGTGTCAATGTCTTTGGTGACCAGCCAGCATGATCACTGATACAAATGAAAGAAATAGCAAACTACCTTCTTCAGAAATGCACGGAATGTAATGGCAAGTGGTAAACCTGGTAGGAATAGAGCAGTGAGAAAATAAAAAAAAATTATGATTGTTCTACCAAAGTATATGTCTGGGACAAAAAATACAGACCGGTGACTGTATGTGATGCGAACGTTGACTATATACACTTATCAGTAATTGACATTATGTTGACGATGCAGTACAGCAAATGAGCAGCACAGATGCAGGAGAATACTACTGGTTCAAGTTCTTGCTTATAGGCAAGAAGTCCTCAAAATGGGTTTCTTCATGTTTGGAAACAACAAATTTCAAGCACCTGTGACTAAATCTAGTATTGTAAATGTACACAAAACTAGAACTGATTGCTGAAATGGAGATGTGGTTTCATGTCCAGATAGAATAGTTCTAAAATCATGGCAGGAAAATTAAGAAACATTTTTAAATAAAATGAAATGCTTTAAGTTCAACATTCATGCTATTAGAAATCTTAAGAAGAAATTTGAAAGTTCAAACTCATTTCCAGGGACATGAATCTTTCATACCGAGTGCGAAACTTTTCTATCATACCTTTTTATAAAAGATAAATATCATATAATTCTCCTCCTCATAATCATCATCATTATCTGATGCAATCTGTTGAATATAATGGATGGAATCCAGTCCAGCATCTTTAGCCTGCCTCAGAACGTTCATCTTAGGATTTCTTTTCAATGAAAAGACAAATACGCATAGCTACAGTCCGTTGCAAAAGTCTGTCCTCAAACGTTAATTAAATATCTAAAAAAAAACTCCTGTACGGATCAAAATAAATTTCTGAATGTGATTTTAGATTTCTCAGGTATTTATGGTTTCATAATTTACAATTGCAAGGTGCTACTCTTTAATCGCAGCAGCAAAATTCGGTAATCCTTGTCCGACTAATAATTTGCTCACCCCTAAAAGAAAAGAGAATGCACAGTAATTAACATAAATCATGCACTCTTTATGAGCGAATCAACAAACATTATAGCAATACATGAAATATCAACTTCACTATTAAAAGTAAGCACTTCTAAGTTTATCGCACGGATTGCCTCCAAAATGTTTGCAGTTTGATGTTTTGCCAACTTCACCCTCAAGCCATTTACTGTAAGTATGCTAAGTGTATGCTTTGAATTGGTGACTTTTTTTTTTTTTTTACATATGACAAATAGATGTATGTTTACATTTAATTATTTGCCTTCAAGGACATGATTATTAACAGGTTGCAAGCCAAATATCAACAAGGTAAACCAAACAATTACTGAGTTACAAATCTTTAAAGTTGGTTAAAACTTCTCTAATGGAACATAAACGTTAGAGAAATGAAGCACAGCTGTTTCCTGTGACAGTTCCTCACAAATGCGTCTGACGCATATAAAGTGGCTACAAATAAAATTTTAAAAATCAACAATTAATTTCAGTCTGCCAGATACTTGCCTGCAATGACAGTGTGCCTCTCACTGCCACAACAACTTTTTTGTAGACATGATCCAGAGCAACAAAGAATGGAGTTTCTCCAATCTGAAAGTTTAGTAAACTCACATCAATACATAACTTACACTGTTACAGTTTTTATAAATTTAACACACATGAACTGACTATGGATGTTCATTAAAGAGGTATCAACATTTAATTTGCATTGTTATCATTTTTTTTACATTTAATTATGCTTGAACTGATTATGATAGTTCAGTAGAAGTGTTTAAATATATTACCTGCATGGTCATTATTTTCTTAAATTACATCACAACTGATTGTAAAAGTTCAGTTAAGTTGTAACAGTATTTAACAAGCATTAACTCTATTTATATTTAAAGCACTGACTAGTTCTAATCCAGATGTGGTCATAATAGCTTTCAGTTTTTTTTTTTTTTTTGGTATGTTGTCTGGTGTGACTTTTCATCTATTATTTCTTTATTCTGCTTCTAAAAATACCATTCAATGCTTGTTAATTTATTTCTGATCTATTCAGCACTTACTGTGCAGTTACAATAATAGTTTTTATTTACTAGAACAAAATCATCGGAAAAATACTTCATGGATTAAAAACAAAAGGTGTAAATTCATGTAAATGACAACACTGCAATATGACAATCTGTTTCAAGTAAATAAAAGAATAAACTGGAGAAGGAAGAATAATGGTGGATATAGAGCAGGAGCTTTAGATGGAGTAGGGGATGCTGGCGAAGGAGAAGTTAAAAGTTAGGTGCATATTTTTTAAAAGGACATTGCAGAAACAACCCTAGCACTTTTTTGCTGTTGTGGTTTTTCTAGGCAAATTTACACCCAGTAGTTTGCCATTGCTTTCTGGGCAATAAGCTTCTTGATACACTGTTGAAATCAGCGCATCGCCCGCAGCTGGGATCGAACCTGGCAGCCCAGCATTATGAAGCATGTGCACAATGCCTAAGCCACAGTGGGGAAGAAGAAAAAGAAGAAAAAATTGTCATGTATGGTGCACCATCCATAGAACTCACATGACAGGCATGTTTGTGTAATTTACAAATTGTCTTTTTTATCATCATTATCAAGTGTTTTGCCAAATGGCATGGGGGATCATGTCTCTCCACAATCTGCGATCTTCAACAGCATCTAGCAGTTCATGTACTGATGGCTCTCCATGCCTTGACACAAGGATGTCAAAAATCATCTTGCACTAGCTTCCTGTCTCTTTTTCCACAGATCTTTCCAGTCGTCACAACATGTTCCAACTTCCTCTTTCTCACAACATAACCAAAAACTGACAACTGTCTCTGATGTGTGTGATAAGCTGTCTTCGAACCCTTGACTCTTTTAAACATTTAGGTGGCTCTTTTTCTTTTGGCTATCAAAGAGATTATAAGGATTCTTATGTAAAACCACATCTTCAGGACCTCAGGAAACTGTCTGGCCTGTTTGTTAATTGTCCACGATTCACAGCCATATGTTAAAACTGGTTCTATATGGCATGCATGAGCTTTTCTTTTCCAATGACATGGATTTATTGCTCAGAATGTTACATAGCTGGTGCTCCCACTGAGCTTGTAACTCATGAAAGCCCCAGTAACATGGTACCTAGATGTTTGCCTACCAATCTGAAAGTCTCTGGTTAACAATCACATCAGGCAGATTTTAGGTTGACAGCTTTAAATTGGTACCAGAAAATGTCCTGGGAAGTAAAGATGGCCGGCATATTTAACACATCACCCATCGATTGCCAAATGGTCTCTATAAATATGAGTCTAGCAGCATATGCCGAATTAGAAACTAGCATGAAAAAGGTCATCTACTTTTACCTGATATGTGACAGACACATCTGTGTAATTTGTGTTCTACATCTTACACCAAACATCTTATACAATAAATCTTTGCACTAGAGGTTTAGAAAAAAATGCTTGCAAGTTATACAGAGCCAGTTTTAAAATGGCAATTAGTTAACAAGCTAACATTTTGTGATGCTGCAGAGATGTGGTTTTATAGAAGAATGCTTAAAATTCCTTGGACAACCGAAATCGGTATTTCACATATCCTGAAAGAGGCAAGGGCCCAAAGAAACAAATGTCTGAAAGAGACAGTTATCATTTTCTAACCATCATAAGAAGAAGGAAACTGGAACATGCTTTAATTACTGGAAAGATTTGTAGACAAACAGAGGATGACATTGAGACAAGATTCTTGACAGCCTTCTGTCATAACATGGAGAGGTGTCAGCACATGCTTTTGGAGACTGCAAGTTGTGGACAGGCATGAACACCCATGCGTGTTAGCAATTAACTTGATGATGATGATTTTTCACTGGGTTCAAGAAACCAAAAATCTGAGCGGACTTACATCAACATGGTAGGTACAATAAACAAGGTCCAGGTTCTGCAGACCACTGGTTTGTTTGGCAGTGCTGAAGTTACACAAGCAGCAATTGTCATCTACCACCTCCACGTTCTGGGGCTTTTTGCAGCAGCAACATCTGAGGGGAAAAAACTTGAATATAACACTTGTGTTGTGACCTGTATAAGACCTGCATAAGAAGGAGACAAACATTGTTCTCTGGCCACATAAGACACTAGAGAACATCGAGACAACTGGCAAGATCAGTGGAAAAAGGGGGTAGAGGCAGACCAAGAGAGATGATGCTGGATGGGCTGAAATGATGGCATGGAGGGATATCATCAAGAGAGCTATTCCAGGCAACCAGGGATCATAATCTGTGGAGACGTAGGAGCACCTACACCAGTTGGCAGGGCACATGATAATGGAGATGATGTGACCTGCACTGAAAATGTCTGCTGGTTGATTGCAATAGCATGTACTTATGCAGTACTGCCAACTTTTGTATTTGACTGCTTGCATAAACGGGCAGCAGTTCTGGTGGGAGACTGTTAGTGCTGTCGTATCTGACAGCTGCCTTATTCATCAGCTTTGAGATTTTTCTGAGCCTGATATGCTTTACATTAGTTTTCACTTGTGACATAAGAAAGAGCAGTCATGGGGCAGTGAAGGTGAAACCATGATGACTTAAACAGGTGGCCAATCACCACCAGGTTAATAAAACTTCTTTGTTCTTCTGCATTTGATCTTAAAAAAGTGGCTAGCATGTAGTACTGCTAGGCTGCAATATCTGTGTTTTTCTGAGAAATTCATCCACTTAACCATGACTGAAAAGATTAACAAAGAGGGGAAGGGAAACACACAACAAGATAAATCAACATTTTTTGCTGGGGCAACATTGTCATTTCTTTTGTCCTGTAGTGCTTCTGTTTGTTTTTTGATTTTGTAGCCCCCTAGTATCTGGTTTTCTTGACTTCTTTTTTCTAAAAATGCACCTTTGGTGTCTGTTTTCCTAATTTCATTTCTCCTATTGTGTGTATTTTTTTTTTTTTTAACATTTCTTTTGCCTACACTGTCTGTTTTCTTGACAGATCGATTTTTTTTCTAATGAGCTTGATTCTATAGTCTCAGTTTTCCTGATTTCTTTTGCCAGAAAGTGTCTCTTGTCTACCCCCTTTAGACTCAGACACTTAATACTTACAAGTAAAACTTCCTACCTCAACAGTGGTAGTAATCTGCAGCACCATGTGCCTGGATGCACCATCACATAGACAGGCCAGCCATAAACAGCCAGGGCAAACCTCATATAATGGATGACTTTCTGGAAATCTTCGAGTACATCTGGCTGGCTCAGCTGAAGAAATCTGGTCTGAGGGGTGATAGGAACTCCAGACAGAAACTGGTAGACATCGTTGCTGCCCTGCATTTACAAAGAATTTTTTTTTTCAGTATACTTTTTAAGAGCACTTTTGCATGCCTTCAGTGGTATTGGGCATATGGAACTAGACCTATATTTTATAGACCAATCAGCACTCTGTGGGTCACATGGGCAACATTATGCTGGCTACCTTTACTTCCCAGGACTTTACCTGGTATACATTTAAAGCTGGGTCAACCTGGGGGTCAGGTTTAAAAAAAAAAAATCCAGTTCCATTCAGATTTGAACCCACAACCTTCAGATCTGCAGGCGAGCGTCTAACCGCTATACAATGGTGGTTTTCATTTACTTTTTACCTGTTTCTAAATATGCATTTTCTATAATCATTTTAACCGAAACATTGCAAACATACAGAAAGGCTTACCAGTAAAGCTCTTTTACTTATATTGTTTGCTTATAATAAGGCATTTTACAAATCTAGGCTGCACAGTGAATAACAAACTATTGCTGGACCAAGAAAACAACATCAGGATAAGTAAAGCAGCAACGACAATAAGCAGATTAATTTAAAAAAAAGTTTAGGAGAACATAAATCTCACTATTAAAACAAAAATTCTTCTCTATAAGGCTTGTGTTCTCAGCACTCTTCTTTATGGCACTGAAACTTGGTCGTCTTATTCGCAGCAGGAGAAATGGCTAAATAGCTTTTACATGCGATGCCTAAGAAGAATACTTGGCATCAAGTGGCAGGAAAAATTCACAAACACTGAGGTACTGGAAAGAGCAGGTACTACAAGTCTTCTCAATGCTCAGTCTACGAAGGCTAAGGTGGCTGGGTCACACCTAAAGAATGAAGGATTTTTAGAGTCCCTAAAGACATCCTTTACGGTGTGTTAGGAAGATGTCGAGGTCAACCTCTACTGCGATACAAAGATGTGTGCAAGTGGGACATGAATGATACAGGTACCAAGGTGGACTCATAGGAATAGAATGCCATAGACCGTGTTGTGTGGTGAGAGCACACCAGGAAGGGAATGAGAATTATGAAAGAAATGATTGCAGAAAGGATGAGAGCAGAACATCTGAGAAGAAACAGACTAAAGACAAATGTTGACAACAATGGTCCTGAAATCCCACTTCGAGGCGCAGACGCCGTCTGGAGGTGACAGGTTCAATTCCCGGCACGGTAACTATAGCTTTCGATTTTTATGTTGTCTAGTGTGTTCTTCTATCTTTCTACTTCTCTCTATGAGTGCCGATCAATACACTGTCTGTTACTCGATTAATCATTGTGGAAGACTTTTCTTAACGCGGGCAGTTCTTGCTAGTCACACTCGCCATCGCCATGGGCTGTGAATCCCAACCCTCTTCACAGAGCAATATAATATAACACTATCATCTGGAAATACGGGGTAAATGTGCCAATAAGACGGACCTTTTAACAGACAGATTTTTCTTTTAAAGTTAGCTGCATATCATCTTTTAGTTAACCAGCAGAAAGTTAATGGTTAAACCAGCAAGAAAAAAAAAAATCAACTGTTTAGAGCCTGCGTCTTCCCTCTGGTATGGATGTGAAACGTAATCTATCTCGCAGACCTAAAGGAAGAAAATCAGGGCTTTTGAGCTGAAATGTTATGTTCCGATTTAGGAATAAAAAAAGTAAAGATCCCTTTTTATGCCATAGGCGCATCGGGCATATGGGAAAAGCACCCATATTTTTACAGACCAACCGGCACTAGGTGGGTAATGTGATCAGCATTACGTCGGGTCATATTTACTTTCCCAAGACATACATCCTGGTACCCGTTTAAGGGTAGGTCGACCTGAGACGCCCATTGATAAAAATCCACGCAGCCAGCACTGGGTTTCAGTCGCGGTAAGTTGGAATTACGAGTCAGATTCGCAACGCCTAAGCCACAATTCTAAGAATACCACAGGCACACACACACACACACACACACACACACACACACACACACACACAAAGAGATAATGACATCCTAAAAGATCTTAACATCAAGGAAGACTACCTAGTAAACATTATCTTGTCTTAAAAACAGAACTATTTTGGCCCTGTCAACTGCCTTGGTGGATTGGAAAAATATTTGCAGAAGGCATGGTTTTAGGAAAGAGGGTGTGTTGATGGGCACTCATAAAAACAGGTAGAAAGATAGAAGGAAACACTGTACGAAACACATGGCCAATGAAGACACCATTTTTAGGGGTGCCTAGTTAGTCATCGATCTTAGTAAACTTGTTTCCATAGCGAGGCGCACATGCCAGTTGGAGATGACAAGTTTGATTCCCAGCACGATAACCATAGCCTTAGATTTCTATGTTGTCTAGTGTGCCCTTCTATTTTTCTACTTCTTTCTATAAGTGCCATTCAATACATGTCTGTTTATTTATTATATATATATAATGTTTCTACAGCCTCAGAGGTTTACACTCTAAGAATGGGGTAGGGGGCCAGAGCCCTCTTCACAGCAGTATTGGCCTCTGGGAAATCTCAGTGTGCTGGGGCCCCTATGACAACTACTCACAGAAATGAAATTTTAATTTACTACAGGTCATTTTATATTACAAAGGTTATCATGGGGCCCCTATGCTAGCGAGGCCCCCCCCCCCGGCAACCGCCCAGCGGGCCCATGCGTTTAGACGGTCCTGTGTGGGGAGACCAGCACGAAGACGGACACATGATATATGACACCTTGGGTAGAAGAGTGCACGAGGCTGGGAGAGATGGTGAGAGACCAAGTTTCACTCAGGCAGGCTGCAATGAGAGCGACGTTCTCCAAAGGACCTGCTACATGATGACGATGATGCATATCCTATGTTGGACAACTCAAACTAATCGAGGCATCTGTTGGCTATTTATGGTTTCTCTGGACAATTTCATGGTCAGTATTTTGCCATTGCCAACGCCAACGGTCAGCGCTCACGTAATTGTCGAAATTAATGTTGCCGGATGAACCCCGTAAGTCTGAAATATGAAACTGCGCTCATAAACCATAAGCCATTGTCGCTGATGAACGGACGGTCGGAACGGATATGGATGGACTAACAAACAGATACAGACAGACAGATGGACATAAAGACGGAGAGATCTATGGAAGGATGGGTGGATGCGGCGGACAGACGGACGGAGATACACTACAGTTTGGCGGGCTGCTGTGTAGATGATAGAAGAATGGACTGTAAATAAATTGGAAGAATGGACTGTTAGATCAATAACTTGGAAGAATGGACTGTTAGATCAATAACTTGGAAGAATGGACTGTTAGATCAATAAATTAGAAGAGTCCACTCTTCTATCAATGCACATTAGATATGGGTGGTTGAGTGTTAGATCAATAAATTAGAAGACGGTGTTAGGTCAAAACTTGGAAGAATCGCGGTCAACAACTGCTTCTAATGCAATGTAGGGGTGGTTGAGTAGGTAAGACTCATTCCATCTTTTCATTTTCAACAATGCAAGTAGGTCTGAAATTATTCCATCTTTTCATTTTTTAAAGGAAAACTCATTGCATATATTTATTTCTCAGACAACAGAATAAATTGCTTTATGTTATTGGGCGCCCATATTTAGCGGATAAATGAAAAATAGCACACGAGTTTGTGAGAACCCAACATCCCGCTTATCGAACAGAACTAGACAGTACTACACTAGAAAAGAATATCTGAAACCGTACTGGGCTAGTCCTGAGGGAATCACTCAGTGAAGATAGTTCAGTTTTTAAAATTCAACTACGTTAATAAAATTTATTGCTGACACTAGTCGAATATTATACACTATTATGTTTGTTGTTATGGTCGATATGATGTCTGGGTTGGGAATGCTAAAGAAATGTTGCTGAGGAAAAATCCAACATATTTAATATAAGACTTGTCAAAAAAAAATATTTAACAATATTAGATTAGTAGCGTTTATATCAACGACCTGCTTTCTGAACTACCCCATGGAATTAAAGCTGCAATGTATGCTGATGACTTGGTACTCTGGTGTACAAATGAAAATGCGACAGTGGCCACCAGACTGCTACAAATAGCCATAGATGCAATGGCTAAATGGGCCGACAAATGGTGTGTCAGCATCAACATAGGCAAATGCAGCACCACCCTCTTTACCCTTTCTCCTAAACAAAAATCAGGTGTCATGCACATAAATGGAGTACCCCTGAGAGAGGATAAGGAGCCCACATACCTCGGCGTAACGTTTGATGATAGATTAACATGGAGAAAACACATCAACAAGGCAGCAACCAAAGCCAGAAGGAGGGTAGCCATTCTGAGAAAACTAAGTGGAACCACATGGGGTGCTAGCGGGAAAATACTTAGGAAAGTTTACCAACAAAGTTAGTTAGTTAGTTAGTTAGTTAGTTAGTTGGGTTATCATCATTGCACTCCGGACATGCCCATAGGTGCTCAGATCCTCCCCTCAGTATGAATCCCAACGTCCGATGGCTAATAGTACCAGTTCTATGTTTTACCAACAAAGTGTTCGACCACATCTTGAATACGGATCAACAGCATGGAGTTCGGCATCAAAAACCACATTGCAAGAATTAGATAAAGTGCAAAATCAAGCACTCAGAGTTACCACAGGCAGTATGAAATCAACACCTATAGCTGTGATGGAGAAAATGGGGATGACCCAAGCACTGAGTGAACGCAGAGACACCAAGATGCTTTTACAAGCAGAAAAGTTTCTTAGTATGCCCAGTCACCCTATGAATGAAAGATTCAAAAATTTAGCTTTGGGACGACTAAAGAGAAGTAGTTTTATCCACCAGGCCAAACGGCTCGGCAGACAAACCACTGATTTACCTGCAACTGATAGATCCTTAAATGCTGTCCCAGAACGGACCCCCTGGAGAGAGGAGTATAAGTTTCCAATACACATCAAGACTGAAGTAAAAGGGGTATTTGACAAGGAAGAACAAAACAGTGTGCAGCGCAAAACAGCCACCCTCAGTCTACTTGATGATGAATACCCGAAGAACCTTTGGGTCCGTGTTTTACACAGATGGGTCAGCAGAAAG